TGAGGTCAACTGGAGCTATACAGTGAGCTTCAGGCCAGCTGGGGCTACACAGGAAAAGTCCTTCTTAAAAAAAAAACTGATAAACAAAAACCCTGGGTGGTGGTGGCTCAAGACTTTAATCCCAGCACTCAGTAGGCAGAGAAGGTTGATCTCTGTGAGTTCAAGATCAGCCTGTTCTACAGAGCACGTTCAACATTGGCTACACAAAGAGACCCTGTCTCAAAAAAGAAAAAAAAAACTTAATTAAATAGATATGCTTACTTTTTACAATTTTTTGATTCATGGTCTCTCCAAGTACCTGCCTGACATAGGTGCTGGGTCAACCTGAGTTCCCTGTGACAGCAGAGTGTTAGGAGCTGTGCCATCTCTTCCCCAAAAAATCCAAGTACTAAATCTCTGCAGTTTTAAATCAACAGGTTCACTTTCTCAAACATTTAAAAGTCGATACTTTTATCAACACAAAAGCATTCAAATAATTATGAGGATCATCTTTATGAGAAAAATAAATTCACGTGACACACTAGTGATCTTCAAGAATTACATTCAAGAGTCTAGTCTTCCTAGAACGAAGAGTTTCTATTTGTCACCTCAATTCCTTACATGTTTAATTTTATTTTTGAGCCCAGGTCTCACTGTGTGGTCCTAGCTGGCCTAGAAGTCACAGACCCATCTGCCTCTGCTCCACAAGGTTTAGGATTAAGGCACATGTCACCATACAAGACCATATTTATGCTCTTTACATAACATCTACACAATATATCACAAGCTGAGTGGTAAGTAAGAAAAAATGCCTTCTAGATCTCAAATAAATATACCGTGTTCATAGTATGTTTCTTTTTAACATTGTCTGGACCTTCCCTCCTTGTTTCAATTTCTTTGTTGAGGTTTATTTGTTTATTGTTTCAAGCCGCAAAAATATGAAGTGGAATTCCAGTTGATTATGACAAGCTAATACCTGGAAGAATCCAGGGCCTTCCAGAGGTCAAGCTGAGGCTCCAGGAGTCTTGGAGATATTTGACCTTTGATTATTAGCTGTTTCCTGCTATGAATTTCTCCTGTGCTATTGTAGCTTTTCCATCATTTACTAGGCACCATTTCCCCTCTACTAAAGGAATATTTAGGTAATTTTCTGTACAGTAATGCAGTCAGGATCCCCAATTTCAGGGCTTTCTGTAATTATCATCATTAGCAGCATCTGGCCAGGACCATCCCCGGATGGATGAAAGTATCTTACCTGAGATACCTCACAGATTCTCTAAGAACAGACTTAAGCACCTAGACTATCTGTTTGAGAAGGCCTGGCAGTTGTGCCAATTAAGCTTAACTTTCTCCTTTCCAGATCTTATCTCTAGTTTTGGATCCACCCTTAAAAATTAACTCAGAACTAAAGGATTCCAACTTACAAGTACATCTAGCTATGGTGGAAGTTGCCTAGCCAAGTTGCCTAGTGACCCCAGCACACTTGTCAGAAATGGTGGAAGCAGAGATAGCTTGGAGAGATGAGGGTCAAAGGGATAAAAAGGCAGTTTTATTTTCAGAGAAGGACTAGATGGAGAAGAGAAAAGAGAATAGAAGAACTAGATGGGTAAGAACTGGAGAAGAATGAACTGGAATGGGGAATAACTAGATTGAAGGGCTAGAAGAGAATACTAGAGGAATGAGATGGAAGATGAGGAAGAGCAAGATGGGAGAGAACAAGATGAGAAAGAAGGAGATGGGAGAGGAGCTAAGATGGGAAGGAACTAGATGGATGAGAATCTAGATGGGGTGGAACTAAGATGAGAGAATTAAGATATAACTTAGAGGGGACAGCAGACAAATGTAGAGAGAAATCAGGCAAGAAAGGAGCTAGGCATGAGAGCAGAACTGAAGCTGTGTAGATAAGATTTTATCCCAGAGGAATAAAGTAGATGGACGAAAGAGCTCAGTGTACTTAGATTCTTTTCCCAAAAATAATTTGTGCCATTTGTAAATTCTTTTCTGGGACCCTGGGAAGAAGATTATTAAGACTGGACCATAATAATTGTTGAGAGTTTATGTTTGTTTTGTGCATGCCTGAATGTATGTACCTGCATGACTAGTTCTCCCAGAGGACAGAAAAGGGCTCAGATCTCTTTCAGTCACAGATGTAGGCATGTGAGACAACCACGCTGTGTGTTGGGCACCAGGCTCAGGTTGTCTGCAAGAGCAGCACAGTCTGGAAGCCAAGTGTTCTCTGCAGGCACTGCAGGTTTCTGAAGCTGGCGAGCCAGTACCCTTGGATGATGGTTTACTTAACTTTTCTAACAATAAAAAACATGGCAGCCAAAGCCACCCACTCAATGCACCCTCAAAAAGAGCGAGAGTCATTGTAAAATTATCTGTCATGGTCATCATGGCTGTCTTCATGTTCACAAGTAAGATGGTATAAATAAACACAAGCTTTATGCTTTGAAATTTGCAGATGTTTGGTGTGCTGGAATTTGAAGATATTTGACCCCAAGCAGTGTCATCTTGGAAGGTAAAGCCATCTTCAGCATAATTGTTTATAAATTGTGACAATAGTACCACATGCATCTTGGGCCTATCCAGGGGCCATCAATGACTGTCCAACCCTTTAGAAGTCACCATTAGTATAGGACTCCACCTGCTAGTTTCCAAGTTCAGGTAGAAATGAGTAGCCCTGGGAAAGTAGATTACTGAGCCAGAAATCATACAGTGAGCCAGACTGAACATGCCAGTCAAGTGTTCGTGTGACTTTAAAGAATCCTCAGTGGAGGGACTGCAGGCAGGACACAGGATGAAATTCCTCCACAGAGCAGTGGAGCACAGCAGTAAAGCAGCTGCACAGAGATTCTTCATGCCATTGCCACTGCTGCTGGCTGCTGCTTCAGCACCGTCACAGGTTCCAGACAGGGTGTCAAAAAGTGGACAGTGGACTTGGGGGCAAAGGCCAGGGTGCCATAGTCCCATATGGACTCCAGGACAAAGACTGATACTAATGGTCCAAAATGCTGGGGTGTTAGAGGCTGTACGTACTTTGCCATTTACTCTTTGAGACAGGGTCTCACGTATAACCCATGCTTGCCTAAATCTCACTGTGATCTCCCTGCAACAGTGTGCTCAGTACAGAGTAGAGTTGTGTGCCACACCTAGCTTCAGTTTACTTCATTAGTAACTGTGCAGAATTACTAGAAGTCAGGCATGGTGGTGCAGGCCTTTAATCTTAGCACTCTGAGCAGAGGTAAACTGATCTTTATGTTCTTGAGGCTAGCCTGGTCTGCATAGTGAGTTCCCCACCAGCCAAGGCTACAGAGTGAGGCTCTACAAAGAAAATAAAACAATAGGAGCATGTTATAAAAATGCTTATTCTTAATGTGGCTTACTTTTTACTAATGATGCAGAATTGAGAAAAATGAATCTGTAGACTCATATATCAAGTGGGCAGTAAAATATGTATAATTTAGTCATCAGAATATTACAAGGCTGTATATTAAATATGGAGTTATTAAGTAAAAACTAATGTTACTGAATGTCATGGCACGAGTGTGTGGGTTCACACGGGTCCATGGAATGAAGACACAGAGGCATCTTAAGAATGAATCTAGCCTTTCATGGCTGCAGGGAGGTCCAGCCTCGAAGGACTGAAGCACTTTCCCTTAACCTAGGCCATATTTATTTACTCTTTTTTACAGTTTAGCCAGTTAATTTCCCTTCCTTCAAAGCAACCTAAAAAGGAGCTCCCAGAGACCAAATACCAAATGTAAATTACTTGATTTCTCAGGTACCATGGTCTTCCCGGGTTTCCTGAACCAAATTTTGCATAGACCTTTGATCCTTGGGGGACTCTCTGATCCTTGACTCTCAAACAAGTTTCACATAGGGCGATAAGAGAAACAAAAGGTAAGAGAAACAAAAGGTGTGGTTAAACAAAGGAAGGATTAGAGCTAGGTGCTACTCTCTGGAACCAGGCCAGGAGCTAGCAGGAATGCACTACAAACTAATTTTGACCACATAGGGTTTAGTTGACTAAAATCCTGTATATACATTGATTGGCCTTTTCTACAGAATAATAGTTTAAGAGATTGCATATTTCTGGTGCATTTTTAATAAACGTTCGTTTTACAAAAACGAAGATAATATTACGTTTTCCACAGCTGGCCTGATGTATGGCCATCCCTGAAACTGACAGGTTTCCTTTTTCCTTTCTCAGTTTCATAGTAAACCCGACTAGTGTCCCCAAAATGAGTCTTCAACTCCCAAGAAGCTAGACAAAGTGGAGGTCTGACTCAGCAGGTGCCTGGTGATAAGTTTTAAATCCTCAGTTGCTGAGTTCCTCTGCTGCCCATTAGCCAACTAAGCCAAATTAATAAATCCAGGTTTAATGAACAGAGCAAAGCAATCCTGGTTGACCCTTGGAAAGGCAGGGGAAGTCACATGGAAAAATGGCAGCCAGGTCTTAAATAACTTGTAGGCATGGTCTTGAGTAGCCCCATGGAGGGGCTGGCTTTTGGTGGCCTTTGAGGGGGTGGGGGTAGCAGGAGGGCAACTCTAGGAGGGAGGAGCTTTTGTTTGGGGAACTTTGAGGGGGCGGGTCTGAGGAGAGAGAGGGGAGAATTCCACCTAATCATCCCAGACTCTTTAGGTATATGATATGGACGGCAGGGACTGAGGTGGAACGTCTACCAGAGCACCTGGTCCCTGCAAAGGATCAAGGTACCACAATTTTCTCTCTAGCTGGGGTAAGAGGAGCCCCTCACCCCACTCTGCAGGCTGCCATGGCACTACAAAGGGTTTGGTGCCAGGGCTGGTCTTGCCAGACCAGACACTCACTCTGGCCCTACTGGGTAAACATCTGAGTTCAGATACTTTCTCCTAAAATTGCTTCAGTACGTTTAAATAGGTTCCTCAGCTGTCTGTCCTGGGTTTGAGACCTAACATCCTGTGTCCAGGAGGAAGAAGGGGGCGTGCCTACTGAGTGCAGGAAAAGAGCTGGGACTTTGCAGTCCAAGGGTGAGTGCGGCTGTGTTGCCAATCTCTGCAGGTCTGGGGCAGCTCTGTGCCTAGGGTGGAAGCCAGGGCTGGGAATCATTGTGCTGCCTCACTTCACAGCACTCTGTCCCCAAAGGAGCTGCTCCTATCACTCAGGCATCACTAGCCAATCATGGCCTCCAGCCGGACTGCCAGTCAGAATGGGGCGGGCACTTCCAGTCTGCCATGCTGGGGCTCCCGACTCTGGGTTGAGGGAGCCGCTCGTGTTCCATGTCCTGCGCTGTGACCGGCTGCTGGGAGCTGCGAGGAGAGCGGGGCGAGCTCGGAATCGGCCATGGTGAGTGAGCGGCCGCCGTCCCCACTGGGAGGAGGCTCGGGAGCCGGTGTGGGGTCCTCACGGGGCTGTGGGAACCGGCGCCCTGACGCCGTGCCCGGTGGGGTCACGTGAGTTCCCTGAGGTCCTCACCGTTCCTGCAACTCCCGGGTCCTGCGGCCTCTGAGTAAGTTGCATCTGTGGATTGCGGCTGCGCCTGCGCAGAACACGGGGATGGGGCGTATGCTGTGTGTGGATAGTTCCTTATTGTGACGTCACCATGCAAAGCAAGTGCAGGCGCCGCTATCCTAGTCGCCAGGGAAGGCAGTTTGGTAACTGACAGAGCCCTGGTCACTCTCGTGTCTTCTGGAAGTTCTGCACTTGGCACTGAACATTCAGGTGTAGATCCGTCTGCAGTTAATTCTGTGCAGGGCGTAACGTCTGCGTCATTAACACATCTGCATGTGGATGCCAGTGGATGCCAGGGTGGTCCAGTCACGAGTGTCAGCAGGGCCAGACTTACTGGGTTTCCTGGCCTCGTGTGTCACAATTGACTCTATAGTAATTGCGTCTTTATTTCTAAGTTTGCTCTTAAGTTCTGTTGATCTCTTGATTCTTTCCCACACGGTACACTCTTCATTGCGGTTGTGTGCGAAGATTTGAAGTCACATGATCTCACTCTGTGTACTATTTACTCAGTTTTGTGTTGATAATTTTTTCATTCATGGTGACCTTTAGTCATCAGTTTTCTGTTGTTGATAGGAAAAAAATGTTAGACTTTTTATTGTACTGTTGTTGAATCTATAGCTGACATTCTGTACTGACACAATATTGAGGCTTCCTGTCCACGTTGTGGAATTTCTCTCCTTTGTTTGAGTTCCTTGATTATTTTAATTGTAAAGTTACAGCTTGGGCTACAGATATTTGTTAAATTTCTTTGTATTTCTGGCTGTTTAATCCATGGTGACATATGAGAGATATGGGGGTAGTATTTTTAATTTACTAAATGTATTTCATGTGCATGAGTGATTTATTTGCATATCTATGTGGTCACCCTGTGTGTGTGTGGTGCCCACAGAAGACAGAAGGAGGCATCCGATCGCCTGCAACAGGATGCAGGGATGATTGTGTGCCACCATGTTAGTACTGGGACCAAACCCAGGACTTCCGCAAGAGCAACAAGTGTCTTAACTGCTGAGCCATCTCTCCAGTCCTAAACATGACAGATTTTCAAAACTTTATGTGTGTGTGTGCACATGTACACGCTGAAAAGCCAGTGTTAAGAGAGTTGAGGTTTCCTTAGCAATCTGTCTTTGGGGGCTATGAGAGGACTCAGTAGGTATGCTGGTTAGCTTTGGTCAGCTTGACACAATGTAGAGTCACACTGGTCTGTAGGTAAACCTATAGGGTATTTTCTTGATTAGTGGTTGATGTAACAGGGCCCATCCCACTGTGGTTGGTGCTACCCTGGGCAGGTGGTCCTGAGTTCTATAAGGGTCAAACTGAGCAAGCCATGCTAGCAGGAGGGCAGTAAGCAGCATTGCTCCAGGTTGAGAGCATATGTGGAATGCATAAGCCTATGGTGTATCTGAGTTAGCAAATCTGTTCGTGGCGAGCTCCTCTTTGTGTGTTAGGTAGAGCTGGAAGCCTGTGATTACTGAAGAGAATGTTCTTTGTTAAGGTCTAATAGTGTGCTCTAAGGTTGCCTGGATCCCAGTGTGTGGCCCCACAATCCATTACGTTACTGTTCCCCTAAATTCACTCCTCAATTCTTGGATTAAAGGTTTTTGGCACCTCACAGTGCGAAATCTACCCATTTGAGTCACAGAGTGGGATGTCCATTTCAGTAACAGGAAACTTGTTTGTATTTGGAGCATGGTCTGGTCTCCACTGAGGCCAGAATAGAGGGAATAGTTTATTGTATACATCACAGGGGAAACAGACTAGGCAATGGCTTGGATTACAAGTTGTTTAATATTAAGACAGTGAGCTGCAAGGGTTTCAGAAGAAGAATCTGATGGGACAGGGCAAGTGCCTTTCCGTGTATTTCCCAGTCTGTTAATTCATACCATGTGAATGAAGGAAAACCAAATTGGTGTGTGTACAGTTTGTGGATGTTACTTTGAGCCACTGAAATTTCCGATTGGGCAACTGTCTGGTGTTGATAAGTGCCGTCCTGGTTGTCTCACTTCAGTCAGGTGAGAATTGAGACACAGGGCATCTGGCTGTGGCTTGTGTGTCAGCATACAGCAGTCAGCAGCCAACATTTTACACAGAGAAGTCATACAGTCAGTTATTCATGACATTCCCTCTACCAGGAAAGGACCTACTCTTTCACAGTCAGTATAGGTAGGTGTTTTTAAGGTTTATTTTTACCTCTTTTAAACACTCGTTGTTGGTATCTGTGTTAGTGTTATATTGCTTTGAAGAGACACCATGACCATGGCAACTGTTATAAAGGAAAGCATTTAATTGGGGCTGGCTTACATTTTCAAAGGTTTAGTTCATTGTCATAATGGTGAGGGATGTGGTGGCATGCAAGCAGACATGGTCCTAGAGAGGTGCTTGAGAGTTCTACATTTGGATCTGCAGGCAGCAAGAAGAGAGAAGGCCACTGGGCCAGGTTTGGGCCCTTGAAACCTCAGAGCCCACCTGCAATGACACACTTCCTCCAACAACACCACACCACCTAATCCTTCTCAAACAGTGCCACTCCCTGATGACTAAGTACTCAGTCACAGGGCATATGGGGCCATTCTCATTCAGACACCACAGTGTCACTTCTGTTCTCCAGTGACTCCCAGTTACTAAGAACTTTATTCGTGATGGTGGTGGCACATGCCTTTAGTCCCAGCACTCCGGAGGCAGTGGCAGGCAGATGTCTGGGTTTGAGGTCATTCTGGTATGAGTGAGTTCTAGGACAGCCAGGAATACACTGAGAAACCCTGTCTCAAACATCCCAGAAAAAGAACAGACTTGATTGGATGTTTCTCAAGTGGTTATTCATGTATTTATTTTGAAAGCAATGTGCCATGTAGCCCAGGCTTGCCTGATACTATGTCCTTGAGAATTGCCTTGGACATCTAAACCTGCCTCTGCCACCCAGGGCTGAGAATACAGATATGCAGGTCAAAAGGAAAAAGACAAGGAATTGAGTGTCCTCATGGAGCCCAGGCTTTTATTAGGGATTTCTGATGCAGAGGAAGCAGTGTAGGAATCTGCGTCCATTGCCTACCTGCAGGCTGGTGTAGTCACAGCAGAGAAAGGGATGAGGTTGGAAGGATTCCTATTTTGTCTGCAGTTGAAATTGCCAGTGAGCAGTTAGGAAATCAGTTTTAGGTGATTGATAAATGTCCTGATCAATGTTTATTTGGGTTCCACAGACCAGGGCAACCAAGATTTTGGATAAAGAAGTGAATTTCCTTCTAGAAACCAAATTGCTGTAGTTCCACTAGTTCAACCAGAACAGAAGAGCTGGACTAACGGCTGTGGTCCTGCCTAACTGGCCTGTTATTTTGCTGGCTGAAAATGTACAGCCCAAGAGAAAGGGTTTGAGTGACCCTTGGTGTGCTCCAACATAAATTGTTCGTCCCCAGCATGGGGCCATGAAACCTGTTTCAGTGTTCTCAGATAATTTCTCGGGACTGTAATTCCATCATTTGGACTTTCCCTTTCCTCGCTCCCAGCGCCCCATAAATCATTCCTTGCCTTCAAGTTCATGGCCTCCTTTTGCTTTGTTGTTCCTATTTAAATTTGACCTATGGCTTTTTAAAAAATTTATTTAACTTCTTTAAAAAAACTTTTTAAACTTTATTTATGTGCATTGGCATCAGGGCCCCTGGAACTGGAGTTACAGACAGCTATGAGCTGCCATGTGGATGCTGGGACTTGAACCCAGGTCTACTGGAAGAGCAACCAGTGCTCTCACCTGCTTAACCATCTCTCCAGCCCCCTGAGCTATAGTTTTTTAAAACACCCTTTTCTTCAAACTCATTAAGAGGCACTCTGTCCTATCTTTAAATGAGAAACTGCAATGGGAAGGAGTCTGCCTGCTTAGTTTTTGGTTGTGAGCCTAGCCTTTCAAGGCTGAGCCATCTCACCAGGCCACTGTACCTGTTCACTATTGCTTGATTCCACAATACCAAGGCAGGCCCCTAGTACATAGAATTAAGTATTGCATCTTTTTCATTAGTGTGACTTAAGGTGACTCTCCCTGCTTTGTAGGGGTGGTTTCAAGGTGGAGACATTCACCTGCCTCCATTTAATTTTAGACCTTCATGCAGGCCAGAGGTCCTGTTCTCTTGACAACAGGGCTTTTTCTAGTAGCAGGCCTTAGTTACTACTTTTAACTTTGCTGCCTCCTAAAGCCCCTAGACTCCCTTAGCTCAGACATCAGAGCTCCCACACACGTTTGGCATCTTTGACCTCTGGTAAGGATGAAACTGCTGAGAGTTCCAGTGACACTTCTGGCTTTTTGTCAAGAAAGCAACTGATTCCTTTTGTTTGAGGACTTTTTTTTAAAAAGATTTGTTTATTTATTATCCGTACAGTGCTCTGCCTGCATGTGTCCCTGCAGGCCAGAAGAGGGCACCAGATCTCTTTACAGATGGTTGTGAGCCTCCATGTGGTTGCTGGGAATTGAACTCAGGACCTTTGGAAGAGCAGCCAGTGCTCTTAACCTCTGAGCCATCTCTCCAGCCCTTTTTGAGGACTTTTTACCCTCAATGGTTTAGCCAGTTCTTACCTCACCCTCTCTGAAGAAGTAACCATACCGGGATTGGAACAATTAATCTGGCTTCTTCCAACTGTATTTGGAGTGTCAGGTGGCAATATTGGGGTATTCCACCAGGGATGATTCCCAACTGTCAGATGTAGAGAGGAAAGGAGGTCCATAGCTGGTGTCTTGAAGGATTAAAATGTCAAAAGTCCATTAGACTGTCCTGATCTGCTCACAAGAGACCCTTCCATTAGACTCATGGTTTTCCTTTGGCCTCTAAGGTTATTCTCCAGGGTTAGGATTAGAG